TGACTCAGAAAGAGATTTTGGTTTTCTTGTTGAAAAAGTTATGATAGGACATGAGATAGACACAAGTAAAATTTGGAATTTATTGCATGTATATGATGCTTATGGATTTCTGGAGAATTGTATTGTCCTTCATGTATGTTTTTAAAATATAATAATAGTGTTTCACTCTCCATATTATATAGAAAATTATGTTTCCCAAAACAAAGAGTTGGAAATAACAAATTATTCTTTGAGATGAAATATGTAGAAAAGTTATCTACAATTTATTCAACATCCACTTAAATTGTATTCAGCTCATCCAAGTTACCAAGCACTCTTCTAGGAGGTATGGATACAGCAGTAAAAAGAAACAAAGTCTCTTTAGTTACAGAGTTGACATTCTGCTCAATTCTATTTACATGAAGACCTCCCACAGAAGGTGGCATTTGAATACAGAACAGAAATTCTGAATGAGTTGGGTAGAAAGACAGAGGGTTACCATTATTCGTACTGTAAGCAAAATTTCAGTAGCTAAAAAACTATAGATATTTAAAATATTGATATTAAGAGTATAAATTCAGTGGTTGCAGTCATTAATCAAATATATATTAAAAGACAATGGACAGAATTAGCTCTTTACACAATGAAATATTTCATATAGCTATATAAAGATACTAAAGTGAAACCAAAAATACCTATTTATGAGGTATTTTCTTTTAAAATGTCAATTATAGGATAAATTGCAAAAGTAATCAAATGACAAAGGTATTATGTAGCTTCCATGGGGAGAATAAGAAAAACTTTTTAAAAAGACAAATGAACCTATCTAATATGAGTGCAGTACAAATTCACAATGTCTGTTAGAATATCCCCCAAAATAATTGTTGCTTGCCATATAGCTGGGATTTCTACTTAGAACGGCATAGCTAACAACTATGAAATTCTCAACATGTGCCAGGTATGGTACTACTTTACACATCATTTCCTTCATTCTTCACGGAACTAAGGATTGAGTTCCACCTTTGTCTAATTTTACAGGTGAAAATTAAAAATTAACTAGGATTTTTAACTTTCTCATGGAGAAATATCTGTTAAGTAGTGGTACAGAAATATTAAAGCAGGCAGCCTGACTTAAGACCCTCTTAACTATAATGAAATATTGCCTAAAGGTAACATGGTTTCATATGCCATTGAAGATTTACTAATTCAGCATTAGTAATAGTTTCCCATTTAGCTCTCAAGAGTGCACCAATTTGGATAATAAATAATATGGACACTGTAACTAGTGGTTCTTCTCCAAACAGGTAGATTATTTAAAAACCTGTGCCATGTGGAAACTAAGATTTTGTCATAAACTTTGAAGAATCCCAAATGCCTAGAATTATGTTTTTAGATATAACAAAAACAAAAATTGGGTTCAATGAAGATGTGCTGTCCTTTAAATAGTCTCAAAATAGAGTCAATGATAAAGTGCGTCAAAATTTAGCATAGGCTCATAATTTTAGATTCAATCATAATTCAGTAACGAAAATTCTGGGTATGTGTACATGTGAGCAGATGTGTATGTGTGTATGTGTATATGGGAGAGGAAGTTCAATAATAAATTGTCCTATTACCCTCCTTAAACATGGTTTGATACAGGATACACATTAAGTAATTTGGAGCATTAGATATATTTCAGTCCAATCCTCTTAATTGTGGTTTTTCTCTACTGAACTTTTGGTAAATACTGATTAGCGATGACTTTGAATATCAAGAGCACTGCCCTTTGGTTTGACCCATTGAGCCAAAATTGTTGAACAGAAATGGATCTGGAATAATAATGGAATAAGTGCTAACCTCTCTTGAAAAGAATCATTTTATAAATAGAGAATTTATTCTCTTTACACAAATAGCCACCCCTTTCTGTTCTTTTTTCCTGCTTGATAAAAAACTAAAGGAGATTTTATTTTTGCTTCTTCATTTATTTATCTACACTAATAATGAAGAAAGCATTCAGAATGACTGGAAATAGTAAGAAAATGTACTAGACCTTCTTTCATGTGAGCAAGATTAACAAAAATTTACAATGAAACAAAATTTTAAGAATTAATATGTTCTTAAAATCTGTTCTTAATCTAATAAGATGGTCTGAAATTGTCACCCACAGAAACATTACTCACAGAACCAATATTTAAGTTCAACAAAATGTCTTTAGCATAATTCTTCGTCTCTGAGAATTATCTAGGGTGGCTTCAAACAGCTCAGGGAAGCCCTTTGTTACATAGTAGAGGAATTCTGATCTCTCCTGAAAAGGAACTACCAAGGGTTTTTCCCTTCCGAGTGACCTAATCTTTTCTTATGGGGATTTAGAGATAGAATGAAGTGTAGGTCAAGCCCAGGGACTGGTCTGACTAGTTCCACAATCTTGGATACTCATGCCAGGAAATTTTTGCTTCTAAAAACATCATCTTTATTCTATATTCTAAGGCAAGATCGTCTTCCATCTCCCACCAACCAACCTGAAGTATGTGCTGTGGAGTAAGGGATGAGAAACAATCTAGACAGAATCCCAAAGAGAAAATCACAGAGACACACTCCATACATGCAGTTAAACTGTTTATCTCCAGCAGGAGGTGCCAACCTTATCAGATTTCCAAAATCAGTGGTATGGGTGTAGACCACATGACATGCAGAAAAGACACTCATTTGTAAGAGAATCCAAGGGTGCAGTGTCCAAATGAGGAAGCCAGTCAGGATAAAGTTCAGCTTAAGAACAATACGTGAGTGGTTCTATTGTATAGACTGGGAGTTATTGAAAGCAGGAACAATATCTTACAATTGTATCAGCCACAATTATTACTATAAATGTGTAACAACAACTGAATAAGAGATTAAGAAAGTTATAAGCTGTTTTCCGACCAGGAAAATTTATCACCTTTCCTAGTTTTATAAATTTTTCCTAGTGTTCAGAAGTGAAGGTCAGATGTTTGGCATACTATCAGAAAAGCAGTTGGTAATTGGCCCCTCACTGTTATTGGTTATCTTATAGGATCCTCTCCTCTCTCTCCTTTGTTTGAAAACCTATACCAATAGCATGAAAAGGATCTCAACTGTTCATTCATTAAGCTTTGATAAACCTGTGTAACCCAAACTTTTCTCAGGATATAAAACATTAGGACCCCACACCTCTTCCAAATAAATTTCCACTCCCATCAGCCATTTATTACATTCTAGGTTAGAATTACATGTTCTACAACTGCAAAATGAGTGGAATAAGTACAATACATCATTTCATGAAAGATTTTCATTTTCATCAGAATATTGTTTAGATCCATGGAAGTTGTTGTATGTGTTAGAAATTCATGCTTTTTTGTTGCACAATATTATTTCACTGTACAAAGATTCCACAATTAATCCATTTTCCTGTGGATGAATACCTGGGATGTTTCCAGGTTTGTCTATTATTGATAAAGTTTTTATGAAGCTTACTGTACAAAACTTTTCATGAACATGTTTTAAGTTCCCTAGGATGGTAATTACTTTTTTTTATTTATAGGGAACTACCAGGCATTTTTCCAAAGTGATTGTGCCATTTTTTCAATCCAACCAGCAATGCATAGGATATCCAGTAGTACCACAGTTTGAACAACATTTGGTGTTGTGATTGCTTTTAATGTAACTAATTTTGGTAGATATCAAATTTTTGTTTTAGTTTCCAGTTTCTTGATGATTAAAGATGTTGAATACTTTTTCATGTATTTATTTTCCATTTATAGATCTTTTATAATGTATCTGTGAAAATGTCTTCTTTTAATTCAATTTTTTTACCTTGTTTTATTCTGTTATAGAGTTCCTTGTAAACCCGGCATACTTCCTTGTCACATATATGATTTGTAACAATTTTCCTTGTCCCTTGTCTATGTATTTTCCTAATAATGTATTTTGTTGGGAAAATAATAATAGTAATAATTTTGATAAAGTCTAATGTATTATTTTAAAGCATTCCGGTTTTGGCTAGGTTTTTTAGGTTTTTGAACCATCTTCAATTATTACTTGTATATGGTGTGAGGTAGGATTTGATATTCAGTTTTTCTGTGTAGATATCCAGCATAACTTATTAATAGTTATTCATCCCCTCATGGAATTGCCTTAGCATCATTAACAAAAATTGAAAATAATGATCTTTACATCTTAACCTATTTCTGAGCTCCCTTTTTCTGTTTCATGAATATCAGCTTTTATGTCAGTAAAACAATTTTTATTATATTAGCTTCATAATAAATGTGAAGTCACATAGTATAAGCCCTTCAAAACTGTACTTTTTAAAAATATTTCTTTGGATATTTAGGTTCTTTGTATTTCCATATTAACTTCAGAATTAATTTATTAATCTCTACACCCCACCCTTCAAAAAATGTCTGTTGCTATTACAATGGAATTGCATTGAATATATTAGTCAAATTGTGGACAATTTATATCTTAATATTGAGGCTTCTAATCTATGAACACAGTTTATCTTTTTCTCAGGTTTTTAAAAATTTCTATTAAAGACCATACACAATGGCTCACTCCTGTAATCTCAACACTAGGAGGCTGAGGTGGGTGGATCACTTGAGGTCAGGTGTTCAAGACCAGGCTGGCCAACATAGTGAAACCCCAACCTCTACTAAAAATGCAGAAATAACCCAGGCACAGTGGCGTGTGCCTGTAGTCCCAGCTACTTGGGAGGCTGAAGCAGGAAAATTGCTTGAACCCAGGATGGTGAGTCAAGATTGTGCCACTGCACTCCAGTCTAAGCAACAGAGTGAGACTCCGTCTAAAAAAAAATTATATTAGTAGTGTTATATTGATTTCATTGTAAAGGTCATGCACATCATTGTGAATTTATTATTTAATGTTTCTAAAACTAGTGTATATGCAACTACTTATTTAACTTTATTTTTTTAGATTTTTGCTGCTAGCATATAAAACGGTGTTTTTAAGGATTTTGATAGGTTAGCCTTGTGTCCTATAACCTTATTAAATTATTAGATCTGCTTTTCAGTCGAGAGCTGAGAGGGTTTATCAGATCATGTCTGGTGGCTCCGCGGATTATTACAGCAGAGAACATGGTGGCCCAGAGGGAATGTACCCTGATGGTGTCATTGAGAGCAACTGGAATGAGATTGTTGATAACTTTGATGATATGAATTTAAAGGAGTCTCTTCTTCGGGGCATCTATGCTTACGGTTTTGAGAAGCCTTCCGCTATTCAGCAGAGAGCTATTATTCCCTGTATTAAAGGGTATGATGTGACTGCTCAAGCTCAGTCAGGTACTGGCAAGACAGCCACATTTGCTATTTCCATCCTGCAACAGTTGGAGATTGAGTTCAAGCAGACCCAAGCACTAGTATTGGCCCCCACCAGAGAACTGGCTCAACAGATCCAAAAGGTAATTCTGGCACTTGGAGACTATATGGGAGCAACTTGCCATGCCTGCATTGGTGGAACAAATGTTCGAAATGAAATGCAAAAACTGCAGGCTGAAGCACCACATATTGTGGTTGGTACACCTGGGAGAGTGTTTGATATGTTAAACAGAAGATACCTTTCTCCAAAATGGATCAAAATGTTTGTTTTGGATGAAGCAGATGAAATGTTGAGTCGTGGGTTTAAGGATCAAATCTATGAGATTTTCCAAAAACTAAATACAAGTATTCAGGTTGTGTTGCTTTCTGCCACAATGCCAACTGATGTGTTGGAAGTGACCAAAAAATTCATGAGAGATCCAATTCGAATTCTGGTGAAAAAGGAAGAATTGACCCTTGAAGGAATCAAACAGTTTTATATTAATGTTGAGAGAGAGGAATGGAAGTTGGATACACTTTGTGACTTGTATGAGACACTGACCATTACACAGGCTGTTATTTTTCTCAATACAAGGCGCAAGGTGGACTGGCTGACTGAGAAAATGCATGCCAGAGACTTCACAGTTTCTGCTCTGCATGGTGACATAGACCAGAAGGAGAGAGATGTTATCATGAGGGAATTCCGATCAGGGTCAAGCCGTGTTCTGATAACTACTGACTTGTTGGCTCGTGGGATTGATGTGCAACAAGTGTCTTTGGTTATAAATTATGATCTCCCTACCAATCGTGAAAACTATATTCACAGAATTGGCAGAGGGGGTCGATTTGGGAGGAAAGGTGTGGCTATAAACTTTGTTACTGAAGAAGACAAGAGGATTCTTCGTGACATTGAGACTTTCTACAATACTACAGTGGAGGAGATGCCCATGAATGTGGCTGATCTTATTTAATTCCTGGGATGAGAGTTTTGGATGCAGTGCTCACTGTTGCTGAATAGGTCATCACAACGTGCATTGTGCTTCTTTCTTTGGGAATATTTGAATCTTGTCTCAATGCTCATAACGGATCAGAAATACAGATTTTGATAGCAAAGCGACATTAGTCGTGAGCTCTTGTGAGGAAAGTCATTGGCTTTATCCTCTTTAGAGTTAGACTGTTGGGGTGGGTATAAAAGATGGGGTCTGTAAAATCTTTCTTTCTTAATGGTTGTATTAGATGTTCTCTATCATTTAATAATCTATTTGTGGACTAAAAGATATAAGTGCTGTATAAAATCAGCCAATTATGTTAAACTAGCATATCTGCCTTTATTGTGTTTGTCATTAGCCTGAGTAGAAAGGCCTTTAAAACTTTTTTTAGAAAGTATTTGACTGCATTTTGTTTGGTATTGTATTTATTCAATAAAATATTTAGTTAGTGCTAAAAAAATAAAATAAATTATTAGTTCTAATAATTATTTTGCATTCCTTAAAAATATCTACATAAACAATTGTGTCATATGAAAATGGAGTTTTTTTTCTTTCTTTCCCATCATAACTTTTGCCTATTTTATTTGACCTATTGCAATGACCAAGACCTCTAGTACAATATTGAACATAAATGATGAGAAAGAGCATTTGCCTTGTTTCTGATATTTCACTACTGTTAATGATGTTAGGTATTTTTAAATTATAAATTGGAATTATACATTGATAATTTAAATTGTATATATTTATGGGATACAAAGTGATGTTATAATCATAAATGCATTGGGGAATTCTAAAATCAAGCTAATCAACATGTCCATCACCTCAAATACTTATTTTTGTGGTGAGAAGATTTTATATTCCTTGCTTTGTAATTTTGAAATGTGTAATATACTAGTATTACCTATATTCACCACATAGTGTAATATATCTTCTAAAAAAACTTACTTTTACTTACTTTTACTTTGTGTATCCTTTAATCATCATCTCCTTACTCCCTCCTCCTTCCAGTCTCTGTAATCACCATTCTGCTCTTTGCTTCTGAGTTCAATTGGTTTAAGCTGGCACATTTAAGTGAGATCAAGCAATCCTTTTTTTTCTGTACTTGGCTTATTTCACTTAACATAATGTTCTCCAGTTTTATCCATTTTGTCACAATGATGAAATTTTCTTCTTTTTAAAAGTGGAATAGTATTCCATTATGTAATCATACCTCATTTTCTTTATACATTCATCTGTTGATGAACACTTAAGTTGATTCCATAACATAGCTATTGTAGTGTTATGGTGCTGCAATGAACATGTGAGTGGAGATAGCCCATTGACAAGCTGATTTCAAATCTTTAAGTTTATTTATACTCAGAAGTGAGATTGTTGGATCATATGGTAATGCTATCTTTTTTTATTTGAAGAATGTCTACACAGTTTTCCATAACAGCTATACTAACAGAGATTCCCTTTTCTCCACATCCTCACCAACACTGGTTATCTTTCATCTTGTTGATAAAGTCGTATAACAGGTGTGAGATATCTCATTGTGGTTTTCATTTGCTTTTCCTTGATGACTAGCAATGTTGAGCATTTTTTTCATATATCTTTTGGAGATTTGTATGTGTTTTTCTAAGAAATGTCTATTCAGTTCCCTTTCATTTTTGTAATTAGGTTTTTGTTTGCTTGTTATGGAGTTGTTTGAGTTTCTTACATATTTTGGTTATTAAACCTTTATTGAATGTTTGGCTTGCCATTTTTCTCCCAATCTGTAGGTTCTCTATCCCACTAGAACTATTAATTCTTTACTTTGCTGTACAGAAATTTTTTAGTTTGATTTTTAGTTTGTCCTTTTTTTGCCTTTGTTGTTTGTGCTTTAGGGGTCAAATCTGAAACATTTTTGCCCAAACCAATGTTGTATGTTATTCCTCTATGTTTTTTTTTTTCTAGTAGTTTTACAGTTTCTGGCCTTAAACTTTTAAATATTTAATCTATTTTGAGATGATTATTGTGTGTGGTGCAAAAATGTTTCCAATTTTATTCTTCTGCATGTGGATAATTCATTTTTCCGATAGCATTTGTTGAATAGACTATCTTGTTCCCATTGTGTATTCTTGGAATCTTTGTTAAAAATCAATTCACCATACATGTGTGGGTTCATTTCTGGGTTTTTTTATTCTACTCCATTGACTGACATGTTTATTTTTTTGCCAGTACCATGCTGTTGTAATTATTATAGCTTTGCAGTACAGTTTGGGACTAGGTAGTGTGATGCGTCCACTTTGTTCTTGTTGCTCATGATTGCTTTGGTTAACTAGAGTTTTTGTGGTTCCATATGAGTAATGGGATTGGTTTTTCATTTATTTATAAAATGACATTGGGATTTTGATAGCAATTGCATTGAATCTGTAGATAATTTTCAGCAGCATGAACATTTAAAAAATATTCTTTCAATCTATAAACATGGGACATATCTTTATTTATTTGGCTTTTCAATTTTGTTCATCAACTTTTGATAGTTTTCATTGTACAGGCCTTTTACTTCCTTGGCTAAATTTATTCCTAAGTATTTTCTTTTCAATGTGTAGGTCTTGTAAATGGAATTGTTCTCTTGGTTTATTTTTCAGAGTGTCTGTTGTTAGTATATAGACGTGTTACTGATTTTTGTGTGTTTATGTTGTATCATCCAGTTTTACTGTATTTGCTTATTAGTTCCAACAGTTTGTGGAGACTTTAGGGTTTTTCTAAAATATAAGACCATGTTGTCAGCAAACAGTGACAACTTCATTTCTTCTTTTTCTATTCGAATGCTGCTTATTTCTTTCTCTTTTAAAATTGCTCTGATAAGAGCTTTCACTACCAGGTTGAGTAGAAGTCACAAGGGTGGGGCTTCTTGTCTTGTTTCAGATCTTAGAGGTAAGGCTTTTTAAAAATTTTTCCTGTTGAGTATAATGTTAACTATAGACTTGTCATATATGGTCTTTATTGTGTTGAGGTATATTCCCTCTAAACTCAATTTGGTAAGAGTTTTATCATGAACGAATGATGTTGAATGGGGCCTGTTGGGGTTGCGGAAGGGGGAGGGAGAGCACCAGGATAAATAGCTAATGCATGCAGGGCTCAATACCTAGGTGATAGGTTGATAGGTACAGCAAGCCACCATGACACACGTTTACCTATGTAACAGATCTGCACGTCCTGCACGTGTATCCTGGAACTTAAAATATTTTTTAAATAAAATTCTTTTTCTGCATCTAATGATGCAGAACGATGATTATATACTTTTTGTCTTTCATTCTATTAATGTGAGGTGTCACATTTATTGATTTGCATATGTTGAACCATGTTGGCATTCAAGGGATAAATCCAACTTGATCATAGTAGATAATCCACTTAATGTGTTGTTGAATTTGGTTTGCTAGTATTCTGTTGAGAGTGTTTGCATCTTTTTTCGTCAAGGAAATTGGCCTGTAATTTTACCTTCTTGTGGTATCCTTACCTGGCTTTGGTATCAGGGTAATGCTGACCTCATAAAAACAGTTTGAAAATATTCTCTCCTTTTTTATATTTTGGGAGAGTTTGGGAAGGATTGATCTTAATTCTTTAAATGTTTTGTAGAATTCAGAAGTGAAGCTATCAGGTTTACTGATAGCTTTTACTTTACTTTTACTGAAGCTGAGATTTTACTTTGATTGGAGGCATTTTATTAATGATTCAATTCCTTTCTCATTGGTCTGTTCAGATTTTCTGTTTTTCATGATTCAGTCTTGTTAGGTTCTTTTTCTTTTAAGTCGTCCAAGATGTTGGCAGCTAATCGTTTATAGTAGTCCCTGTATTCTTTTGCCTTTTGTTACCAAATATAATGCCTCTTCTTTCGTGTCTGATTTTATTTATTTATTTATTTATTTTTGAGACGGAGTTTCGCTCTTGCTACCCAGGCCGGAGTGCAATGGCGCAATCTCGGCTCACCGCAACCTCCGCCCCCTGGGTTCAGGCAATTCTCCTGCCTCAGCCTCCTGAGTAGCTGGGATTACAGGCACGCACCACCATGCCCAGCTAATTTTCTGTATTTTCAGTAGAGACGGGGTTTCACCATGTTGACCAGGATGGTCTCGATCTGTTGACCTCGTGATCCACCCGCCTCGGCCTCCCAAAGTGCTGGGATTACAGGCGTGAGCCACCGTGCTCGGCCTCGTGTCTGATTTTATATATTTGAATCTTCTCTCTTTTTTTTAAGTCTAGCTAAAGATTTGTTTATTTTATTCATCTTTTTTTTAAAAAAGCTTGTTTTGTTTATTTTGTATTATTTTCTAGACTCTATTTCACTTATTTCTGGTCTTCTTTCTGAAAACTTTGTGCTCAGTTCATTCCTTTTTGAATTCCTTGAGGGGTGATTGTAAGTTCTTTGACAACTTTCTTCTTTTCTGATGTAGGGTGTTTATTGCTATAAATCTTCCTCTTTGAACTGTGTTTGCTATATCCCTTAGGTTTTGGTTTGTTGTGTTTCTGTCTTTGTTTGTCTCAAGAGCTTTTTAAATTTCCCTTTTAATTTCTTTATTGACTCATTGGTTGCTCAGAAGCATATCATTTAATGTCCGTGTATTTGTGAATTTTTCAAAATTCATTCTGTTATGAATTTCTAGTTCTATATCATTGCGGTCAGAAAAGATACTTAACATCATTTTAAAGGCTGTTTACTCTTCTAACATGTGATCTATCTAGGAGAATGTTACATATGCATTTGAGAAGACTGTTGCTATTTAAATGGCATGTTAAGTATATATGTCTTTTAGATCTATTTGTACTAAAGTATTGTTCAATTTCAATGTTTTCTTATTATTCTTTATGGTCAGGATAATCTGTCCATTGTTCAAAGTGTAGTGTTGAAAATTCTTACCATTTTTGTATTACAATCTATCTCTCCTATCAGATTTTAAATTTTTTATTGTATATATTTTTGTGTAAGTATAAATATAGACACCATGCAGTTGTCTCAAGCTTGTGCTCAAGTATTGGAACCTTCTAAGAGACATTCTATTCTGTGGATTGTTGCTACTTTTCATAGAAAGGAGTCAAGACTGAGAATTCCTATGCTACCATCTTGCTAATATCCCCAGTAACTGTTTTATGTTGATGCCATTTAGACTATTCCTATTTCTAGTTTACTGATAGCTTCATCATCAATAGGTATAGAATTATTTTCCAATGCTTTTGTACAGTTATCAAAATGATGTTACAATTTCTCTCCTTCATTCTCCTCAGATAAATTTCATTGATTCATTTTTAAATATTATGTCAAATTTACATTATTGTGAGAAACCCTAGTTAGTTGGTCATGATGTGTTAACTTTCTTTTACATTCCTGAATTCAATTTGCTAATATTATACTAAGTAATTTCCAATTTATTATATGTTTCCTGCTTTAATTCTGTCAATTTTATTGCTGATTTTTTTTGAATGCTCT